AAAAAAAAAAAAAAAAAAAAGGATGGATCTCAGCACTTTGGGAGGCTGAGGTGGGAGGATTGCTTGAGATCAGGAGTTAGAGACCAGCCTGGACAACAGAGTGAGACCCCTGCCTCTACAAGAAAGAAAAAAGAAAGAATACAGAGAGCTATATGTACTGAGTATGGAAAGTTGTCCTTTGGGTATTTAATTGTGGAACAATGTGAGATAAACTTGTTTGTAAGTCAAAAACACTTCCATATGTGGAGATAGATTTGCACGCTGTGATGGCAAACAAAAAGGTAAAAGGATACATGACACACTTAACTGCAGTCAGTTGGTGAGTGTGAGGGCACAAATGAGGAAAAGTAAAAGACTTTCACATTTTCTTCTATCTCCTATGTTTGAATATCAGTGAGCTTAAATAAGGGATTTTTTTAAGATTTACTAATTAAAAAAACCTTATAGAAGCAGCATATGTACTTTATAGAATATTAGAAATTACAGCAAGCATAAATTAAAAATGAAAACCTCACTTGCCACTTGATGGAGATCACTATAGTTAGCACCTGGGTATATAGCTTTCTAAATATTCTTGTGCACATTTATATAGAATTGTTTAGCTGAATGAGATCATATTATACATACTGGTTTCAGCCTGCTTTCTTCAATCAGTAGTTCTCAACTTTCTATTTCTGTAAATTTTCATCTCAAATATTCAGACCTTTTTTTTTTTTTTTTTGAGACAGGATCTTGCTCTATTAGCCAGGTTGGAGGCTGGAGTACAGTGGCATGATCATAGCTCACTACAGCCTCTGCCTCCTGGGCTCAAGCGATCCTCCTGCCTCAGCCTTCTGAGTAACTGGGATTAAACGCAAGCACCACCGTGCCTGGCTAATTTTTGTACTTTTTGTAGAGATGGGGGTTTTGCCATGTTGCCCAGGCTAGCCTCGACCCCCTGGGGTCAAGTGATCCTCTGACCTCAGCATCCTGAGTATCTGGGACTATTAGGCACATACCACCATGCCCCACTAATTTTTTAACTTTTTGTAGAGATGGGATCTCACTACATTGCCTAGGTTGGTCTTGAACTCCTAGGCTCAAGTGATCCTCCTGCCTCAGCTTCCCAAACTGTTGGGATTACTGCGTGAGCCACTGCACCTGGCCTGAGGGCATTTCTTGTTTCCTCTTTCAGGCCGTTCATCAAGGGACCATCAAGTGCAACTTTGCTGGGGTTGCCTTGGGCGATTCCTGGATCTCCCCTGTTGGTAAGTCTGGCATTTTCAGGCATTTCTTCACTCCTCTTTGTCCATGCTTTCCTGGGACTTTGGGCTGTGTTGTCCAAATCAAAGGGCTAAGCAGCAGAACGTTCTGGGCCCTTAGAGAAAGTGTTTGCTGCATCCAAGAAATATAGAGACAGAGCACCTACCATGGACCACTAAGGGCTGAACTGAGTTTTCTTAATTTAATTATCACAACAAAAGGATCAAATTTTACATTTGGAGGCATTCTAAAGACTCAGAGAGGTCATGAAATATGCTCTCTGCAACATAGGATGAGTGGCCTAGTCAGGATTCAAATCCGGGTCTGTGTGGCTCAGTACAAAGGCAAATCTGTTTTGTCATCCGCCCCCTCTACTTCTCTGATGCTGACATAAGCGTTTGGCGTGAAATTTCCATCTGTTATGCATATTGATGGCAAGACAAGGTTATCGTCTGGTCTTACAACTCAGAGGTGTGCAGTTTCGTAATTGAGCATCCGTGTTGCGAGCATAAATAAGAGTTGTTTATGTTGCAGACACCCAGGGTGTGGTTCCAGACATCTGAAACAATCATCCTGGTGGCAGTCACTCTAACACAGGATTTCTCAGCACTATTGACATTGTGGGTCATATAGTTCTTTTTGTGGGAGGCTGTCCTGTGCATTGTAGGATACTACCAGCAGCATCCTTGGCCTCTACTCAAGAGATGCTAGTAGCACCACCCCAGTGTGACAACCAGAAATGTCTCCCTGGGGAAGAAAACCATCCCTGATTGAGAACCATTGTTCTAACCTAACAAAACGTGATTTTCCCCAGGCAAAACCAAACTACGGAGTTAGAAATCAGAAGAGAGGCTGCCTAGGGGCAAGGGCGGGAAATAAGCATGAAAGGGACATGAAGGAACTATATCTTGATTGCAGGGGGTGGTTACACGGGCATATGCATTCATCAAAACTCTTCCGAAGGTACACTTGTGATTTGTGATTATGGCTCAGTTTTTTAAAAATAATCATTTATAAAAGGTAATATTTCCCCCTAAAAGGTAGGGATTCGCTTGTTACAGAGCCATGTTCCCAATAACCATTACAACTTGGAACGGTTATTTCTTGCCCTCATGTTTGCCATCTGCAGGGTAGGACTGAAGTAGCATAAAACTGAGTCAGCATGAAGACCAGGGCTGCTATTTGTTTATCTGTTTTTCCTTCCTGGGTGGATCTCATAGGACATCATAAAACTGCAGAAGCCTGGGTCAGAAGCATGAGAGTTTCTTGTCAGATGCTGCTCTTTTGTTCAAGTTGATGACAAGACAAAGTCTCCATCAGGTCTTGGCAACCCAGAGGTGTGCTATTTCATAACTGAGCATCCTCATTGGGAACACAGATAAGAGTTGTTTATGACTCAAAATTATGATGCTGGCCCTCTCACTTCCTCATGGGGTCTTCTCAGTTTCACAATAGCACTAAGTACTTTGCATGTGGTAACTTCATGTAATCCTTACAACAATTCCATGGGATGGATGCTATTGTTATCCTAATTTTGTGAATGATGAAACTGAGACTCAAGAGAGGTTAAGCAACTTTCTTAGAGTCACCCAGCTAAATGGTAAAACTGGGATTCAAATCCTGGCAGCAGGTACTGGAATCCAAGCAACCTAACCACCTTGCTACACTGTCTCTCCAAGATCAGTAGCTTTGCTTCCTGGCTTTGCAAGTGTTTTTCCTCCGGTTTGGAATCTACCTTTTCCTCCTTGCCGTGACCCACTTTACCTTATGAGTCTGTTTGTCTGGATTGTAATCCATCCTTCCAGATCCACTTTAAGTATTGCCCCTCTATACTAGAAACATTGGTTTTTGAGGGAGAAGTATTGTTAATTTCCATGAACAATTGTTAATTGCTTTCTAAGTAGTAGATACTGTTCTAGGTGCTAGGCAAAGACACATGGATATGCTCCTGGTCTTCAAGAAGGTCTTGATCTGCACTGTCACTAAGCCCGTGTGACCATGTCAGTATGGTAACCACTTGTCACATGTGACTATATAAATTTAATTATAATTTTTAAATACAATTTCAGTTTTTCAGTGGCACTCTCCACACCCAAGTGCTCCATAGACACATGTGGCTATTGGCTAGCATTTTGGACTGCACAGATATGGGACACTTCCATTACTGCAGAAAGTTCTATTGAACAACGCAGGCCTACTTCAAAGGTTGGTAAACAAGGGCCCATGAGTCAAGTCTGCCCTGCCGCCTGCTCTGGTAAATAAGTTTTTTCTTGTTTGTTTGTTTTTGTTTGTTTTGAGACCGAGTTTTGCTCTTGTTGCCCAGGCTGGAGTGCAATGGTGCGATCTCGGCTCACTGCAACCTCCGCCTCCCAGGTTTAAGCGATTCTCCTGTCTCAGACTCCTGAGTAGCTAGGATTACAGGTTCCTGCCACTATGCCTGGCTAATGTTTTCGGTATTTTTAGTAGAGATGGGGTTTCACCATGTTGGCCAGGCTGGTCTCCAACTCCTGACCTCAGGTGATCTGCCCGCCTCGGCCTCCCAAAGTCCTGGGATCACAGGCGTGAGCCACCGCACCTGGCCGGTAAAAGTTCATTTACTGTCTGTGGCTGTTTGGAGACTGTAAGAACACAGTTGAGTAGTTGCAACCGAGATAGGCTGGCCTACAGGGCCAAAATTATTTACTATCTGCCCTTTTACAGAAAGGTTACCAATCTCTGGCCCAGATCAAACAGGAAGTGGGATGCATTGGAGAACTGCAACCAACCCTGTTTCAAGAAACTAAGGCACAAGTTTGAAGGTTAAGCCCAGGAGGTGATTAACAGCTAGGCCACAGAAGTCCCGGTGAGCCTGCATTTCTCACAGTGTACTCTAAAAGAATACCAGTCCAGGCCAGGCGTGGTGGTTCACACCTGTAATCCCAGCACTTTTGGGAGACCAAAGCGGGCGGATTGCTTGAACCCAAAAGTTCGGGACCGGACTGGGCAACATGGACTTAGTTCCTGCAGAACTAAGACTACTTGAAACCTACTTTGAGACACTTTGCCTTAAGGAGCCATTGAATACTTTTAAGCTAAGGAGAGACATACTCAAATGTGCTTTGTAAGTTGAGGTCCTTGATTCTTTGTTGGCATGTCTTTCAATAGCACTTGTCTTACCTAGTGATACAGTATTTAATAGTTGTGAGCTTGTCTAAACCAAGGTCAACTACTGTTCTCTTTAAGGACAGGCATTATGTTACTCACAGTTATATCTTAAGCTTTTGCTGCCTCCAGACCCTTAGTAAATTCTCAATGTGTTTGTGGGATGGGAATGAGCCAATTGGCAATATAGCCACTTGCGTTTTTGCAAACTCATTAGTCATCTTCCTTACTCAGCTCCTTGGCAGAACCTAATATCTCCAAACTGGAGGAGCAAATAAGATGCAGAGCAGAAATGTGAGGGTGGAGAAATATTTTAAGCTATCAAAAGGCCTAGAGGTCCACAGATAAGAGCCTCCACCTGCATACCTACAGCCTGCCTGTGGGGATGCTGTCACCGGCAATGGCTCACTTGCTGGGCCAGTATCAGGCCAAATTAATGTGCCATTAGTCTAAAGAGTCAACAGACAGGCCCTCACACCCTCATCCCACCTTCCAGCCACTGTGTCATCAGCCCGCCTCCTGCATGGGTACAGGTGATTTAAGGGGCCTTCCAATCCAAAGCTACCGGGTTTCTTGCTTCTGTCTCTTTCTTCTTTGGAGAGAAGACAGTTAGGTTTGTCTTTGGAAAGACAGAGGTGTGACATACTTGATTTGTACATATGTGGTTTCCTTTAGATTCGGTGCTCTCCTGGGGACCTTACCTGTACAGCATGGTAAGTAGATATACATCTGCGCCCTGCGAGTAAACAGCCCAGCCGATCTCTTCCAGCTGTGACCCCAGGAAAAGAGATGCTGGATGAGTTTGCCTATGTGGATGACACGGCTCTTTAGGGACTACTCATCCATATAGAGTTGGAGACCCAAAGCAAGAGCTTGCCTCAGGGACAAATTGAAAGAAAATCAGCACACATCACTTTTTTCCAGATATAAGAAACACATTTTTCCAATTCCCTAAATTTTTATTACAAACATTTTCAAATATGCAGAAACGTTAAAAGATCACTGTGAATACCTTCTTAGGTTCAGTTGACAGTTTGCCGTATTTCCTCCAATAAACATGTGGCTTGTAACAATACACTTTGATATGTGAGCTTCTGTTCTCCTTCCTTCCCCTCTTTCTCCTACCCCTGCCTAACTGCAGCGGCACCAGATTGATGTTCCCAAGTAAAGCGGGTCTTTTTGCTCTTGGTTTGCATTCCAGTCTCTTCTCGAAGACAAAGGTCTGGCAGAAGTGTCCGAGGTTGCAGAGCAAGTCCTGAGTGCTGTAAATAAAGGGCTCTACAGAGAGGCCACAGAGCTGTGGGGGAAAGCAGAAAAGATCATTGAACAGGTAAAAAGGGGACAAACTCAGAGGCCAGCCTGCTTGGCTTTTTCTGGTGGGTATAGGGTACGTTGTTGGTATTGTCAAACTTGGGGTCTATCCTGAGCCTCCCCACGTATCTGCAAATGATTGCATGCTAGATAATACATCTCTTGGGTCTGAGCAGTGATGTAGTGGCTCCTTACAGAGTCAGAAAGCCACCCAGGCTTGCAAGACTTGCTTGTCCTTCACTAAAGGTATGGATTCTATTAAAAAAAAAAAAGACTGTCTTGCAGAGGTAAGTGTGTGGAGACAACAGATTCCCTTATTAGGACCCTTGCCAAGCAACATTCTGCCTCCAGAGAACCAGAAGGAAAGAATGCGCTGGCTAAGGATTGGGAGTGTAGGCCCCTCTGCAGCTCTGTTCTCCTTATAAATTAACACCTAGGCCCTTGGTTTTTTTCCCTGTGGGGCCTGATCACTGCTTATATGAGATGCTTACCACTCCAGGGAGAGTAGGCTGACACAGCTGGTTTCTGAAACTTCAGAGCTGCATTTCTTTCTTTCTTTCTTTTATTTTTTATTTTTTCCTTTTTTTTTTTGAGACAGTCTTGCTCTGTCACCCAGGCTGGAGTGCAGTGGCACAGTCTCGCCTCACTGTAACCTCTGCCTCCTGGGCTCAAGCGATTCTCCTGCCTCAGCCTCCCGAGTTGCTGAGATAACAGGTATGTGCCACTGCACCCAGCTAATTTTTGTATTTTTAGAGACAGGGTTTCACGATGTTGCCCAGGCTCGTCTTGAACTCCTGACCTCAGGTGATCCACCCACCTCAGCCTCCCAAAGTGCTGGGATTACAGGCGAGAGCCACTCTGCCCGGCCTCTTTCTTTCC